GGGTTCAGTCGCCCATCTGCATCCTACCGTCGTGCGATCGTGTACCACGTATACTGCGTAATGCACGTTAAAGACCCCGAGCTAACAGTTGTACTGCACGTTTTATAACCTTCAACGGGTAACAATGTCGCCCTACGAAACTGCTGCTCTCTAAGAAACTAACGACTAGTTTTGAATGTGCCGCTACATTGCATTTTTAATGTGTGTTCGCTTGTTCGCGTTCTTTGTTTTTTTGTTTATATCTTTGATTATTCGGCTTTTACTTATGATGAACGAGACTATAGGTGTCGGAATTCTGGAAAAATATTATATATCTAAGAAAATGGCACGTGAACGCAACAGACAAAAAACAAAAAAAACACATAGGCGCATTCAATAAAAATAATAAAAATAATAGAAATGATTATCATTGTGTTTTTAAAGGTTTGAGCGTACCAAGTGCTATAAAAACGAACTCGATGTTTTGGATGATGCGTTTGTTCACTGAAAGTATAGTTCAGGGCAGTATGCTCGCACTTGTATGTTCCGCTTCGCTCGCAGGGTAAAACCAAATACTTTACTGGTAATGTATTTAGTAAAACAAAGCTTATCTTCTGTATATGTGCAATGCCCTCAGTTTTCGCGTGACTACACGCTTGTTCATCATCATTTATTTTCGTTTCCCACTGCAATTCAGTTCGTGTTCTTTTGTGTGCTACATGCATTAGAGACCAAGGTAACCCAGGAGCATTCTGTTTCGCGGATTGTAAAAAAACCTATGCAACTTGCCACGTGTGCCACAATCAATACAAACTATTGTACGCTTCACATATGCCCGCTTGCCTGAGTGAACATTGTTGTTTGTCAAGAACAATTGTGATTGTATAAAATCACGTGGGAAAAAACACGTTCTAAGCACGCGACCGTCGGCATGCAGTGAATACTCATAATCGGCGCCGAGATGATTGATAGCTGTCAGCAGGTGGAGTTTTTCTATCAACCCAAGCTTAGAATGTTTCCTTCTTTTTCTTGTAAGCAATGAGGAGAGGACTTACACCGAATCTAAGGGTAATAAAGTACTATGAGCTTTCAAACATAATAGCCTGAGCAGTATATGTGTACAAGCTTTAGCCTTTGATGCACCCTTAACTTTCGATACACTCAACGCTAGTGCAAAATGTAGGGCTGTTTCATTCTTATGTACCATGTGTGTGCTTACACTATGTATTATACAATGTTAAACTGTACCCGTTTGCATCTTTTTTTTTTAATTTTCGCACACCACTACTTGCGCGCATAAATCACCAAATCACCAAATTAAGACTGGTACAGGATGCCACAAAAAAACAGTTTTTTTACCTCAAAAATAAGCTACGCATCGTTTAACGCTCATTTTTCGCCAAAAGGTAGCGCTAGGTTACAACCAGATGCCAAAGTTTCATCCCGAACGGACGCCTTATTCAAAAGTTATTAGTGATTTTCTAAAAATGTCAATGGGAAAATGAAGCCCATTTTTGCCCGTTTTCGGTTTCTGGTGCAGTAGAGCCGCATGTATTCGAAAGCTCCGTCGGCCGCCATTTTCCCAATGAACACTTCAGAAAATCACTTAAATTTTGAATAAAGTATCGGATCGGGCTGAACTTTGACATCTGGTTGTGCCCTCTAGCGCTGCCTTCGGGCGGAAAATGAGCGTTCGGCAATGCCTAGTTTATTCTTGCGGTAAAAAAACAGACCCTGTAATTTTTTTTTGTAACATCCTGTACTATGCTTAAACTGTGGAAAAGCTATCCACAGACCAAGAATCTTTGCCTGGCCAGTCATTGCATTTATTACTGAATTCGTTAATTATTATAATAACGAATTAATGATAATTAATTATTATCATTTATTGCTGTGAGTTAATTTTTAACCTCGGCTTTTTTTTTATTATGACTCCAGCACCAGCCCTACTTTGGGTTTACCAAACTCAACATCTAAACCTGAGTGTCATTTTTGTGTGTTTTCCAGTCTCGTGGTTTTGGTCAAAATGAACACCCAGCTACCTAAATGAGGCAGCTAACCACCCAAAAATAGTTTATTTATTTTTTTATTTTTTAGGTGGTTAATTCCTTAAACTAGAATTTTGGACACCCAAGCCTATGTGTCAGCTCGTTTTCCTGAAATCCACAAACAGCCAAACACATGCACGACAAAAGCGCCGGCTCGTCATATTGCCGCCCGCCGAGCCGAGAAAGGAACGCTCAATCACGGACTTCTAGAAGATTTGTGTTCGTTCTTTCACCAGGGGCCCTAAACTCGTCAAACACAAAGTTTGGGCCGAAGTTGACGGAGCGCACCAATTGGACAACCGCGACGATGACTTCGCGTTTTTGTCGCCGACGTCCAATCAGCGCGCTCCGCCAACTTTCGGCTCCAACTTTGTGTTTGACGAGTTTAGGGCTCCAGGCGTAACTTTCGCCCTGTTTTCTTGTTCTCGAAAGTGCCAGTTCATCCTCGCCCCGAGCGCGCGACGCTCGAACCTTCTTCGCCGAACTTTCGAGATGGTGACGCACTGTAGATAAGCAGCTGCCGGCGACCTTGTCGAGTCACTCTCGCTCTCGCTCTCTGCCACGCTGCCGAATCGCCGCCTGCTTTTCTGCTGCCTCGACGCTCTTTCCTTACTCTTTTTTGTTTGGCACAAGTTCGCCGATGAAGCCTTTATTTTTCAGTTCACTATTCGTCCTGTTGTCACCTTCACTCGTGTCAACATAAATCTGATCATATTGAAATACTCCTACGTGTAATTGGCCTCCGAAATCTCCGGTAACGGCGCACAGGCAATTTTATATACGTATTTCAACGTGTCGGTGGTTTGGTTGTGCATGTGTCTCGCCATTTGGCTCAGGACGATTTTCGCGTTGTGTACTGCCCACATTTGCTAGAGACGTGAGCTCGGAGCGTAGGCAATTGGCCCCCTTGCACGAGAACTGGCGCAGCTGTGCGCGTTCCAAAGAAAGCTCGTGAAGAGAAAAACAAGCAAGGAACCAGGGATGTCAAATTCAGGATATAGAAAATATCCCACTGTATCGAAGCGCCACCACAAGATTTCTCGGATTGATGAACAGGCTTGGAAGGCGATCCCACCGCCATCTGTTGGTTCAGAATCACACTAACCAAGGGTGGGGTTGCACCTTAATGCTTTCGCATTGAAGTAAAGTTGACTAGCACTCGAAGAGTTTCAACCCACCGTGGCAAAACGAACACGGTTAACCTTTCGTCTGCTCTTTTCTTCACTTTACCGTCACTCTCTTTCTCGTTCTTGGTCTTGGGACCACCAATGTGAGAGCTCAAAATTAGCTGCGACCTTCTCCCCCTGTCTCTCTTACGCCACCAACGTACCCCTAGAGCCAGCGGTAACTGAATACCATCCAAGTGGGGTTGTGACTTCGCGCCATGACGTTTGTGCGCCCCTTTTTTTCGAAATATCTCGCTCCGCTATGATTTTTCAGCAACAGAAGAGTTTAGGTATTAGCGACCTCGAAACTGCAGCGTTCATAAAATTCACTGCATTCCTTGAATTGATGCCGCATGTATGCGTCGGTCGCAGAGCAAATAGATTTCGATGAGATCGACCATGGTAGAATTTATCTTGGAAGTCGCTCCCAGTGCTTTAGTCAAATTGCTGGATTGTGTACATAAACGAGTGAAACTTAGGGATGGTGACGCGGATATGATCATCATACAAAGAAATAAAATTCGTGCCTGTCACGGCAAAACCCAAACTGAAATTGAAACCAAAAAGTCCAGACCTACACGGGGCAATAACATAGAGCCGATAGCTCCACCACCACCTCCCTCCCTCGTAGCATTTTCTTTATTGCAACAGAAAGTTTATCGCGCGTAGAGCTCTCTTGTCTGTGGTTTCCTCTCCGGCGATTTGTTACTTTTGTGTATGGAAGAAATCAATTGCGCAAAACTTGAAGATCGAGGGCCGAATTTACACGTTACGCGTTATTAGTGATCTAGCGGGTTAAATCGCTACAGTAAAAATACTGTGTGTACTGAACAGAGTGCGCTTTTACAATAAACGTTCGACGTTTTCTTTCCAAGTTCCTGATATATTATGGAGTCATACTTTGTAAACATTCTCCTTCTTAAAAAAAAAAAAACAAAAAAAAAAACAACCTTAGGCTACCTTCCAACCAGGGTGTAAGATAGACAAATGGGGAAACGGCCCATAAAGCCCTACCGCAGCGCCGTGACCGGATTGTGTACTCGTCTGCTTGCGGGTACCCCCGATTTGCGACAGATGGCGCTGCGGCGAGAGGAAAAAAATTAGAATCGAATTTGCATGGAACTTTATGGGAGAGTGCGCAAAATAAACCGAGAGCACGACATTCCTTCATTGAAAATCCACGAGAAATCATCTCAATCAGTTTAGCCGGTCGCCAACGGTCGCCCACCCGGAGTGAGAGTTCGCGGTGCTCCACATAGATGGCGCCACAGAAAAAAGAGAAACCCGAGGGGGACACAATCCGGTCGCTCATTTGGCTCTCGTTTCCCCACCAGTCTATCTTACACCCTGCTTCCAACCAAGGTAAACGAAGAGTCTGTCGAAGTTGAGTGACAGGATACAATTGCCCGCTGGATTTAGCAAAACAAAAATACAAAAGTTGCCCGCTAAAATTAGCGGGAAAATAATGCAAGCTTTGCCCTTGACATTACGTATATGATCATTTTTTGACATCCACCCAACCCTAAACTTAGACATAAATCTGCCCTTGCGCAAACGGGTCGTGATATTATTAGTTTTATTTTTTTGCTGACAGTTGTAAAGAAGCTTCATTTCTTATTCAAGCTAAGTAATACCTACGCTAGCCTTTTTAAGCTATTACTTTATCGGAAACACTTGATTTATTTCAAGCAATTTTACGGATGGTAGCAGTGGCCACGATATTCGCACGAAAATAATTAATTATTTAGTTTCAATATTGATAAAAAAAACCAAATACGCATTGTTATTAGTACTGGAGTTTACTTACTGATGAGAAGAGACCTTGCACGTATTTTTGAATATTGAGCCCAAATTTTAATTTCACTGTAGCATCTACTATAAAGTAGAGGTGAATAATTTTTGTTGCAGAAGCTGTTTATGAAAAAAGAAAAATGTTCCCTCTTAGTCGAACGGTACATTTAGGAAACAGTGAAGCGTATAAACTTATTATGTACAAACAATTGAAAAAAAACACAAAAAACGTTGAAAGCTCTGGATTGGACACAAAAACCCACTGCTGATATGAGTACGGATATTTGATAAGATCAAGTTCACTTTAGGTAACAATATTCTTCCGTAAATAACTACCTTTTACGATGTACAGACATTTCGCAGAGGGTGTGTTCCGAGCAGAGATCTCATAACTCCATGCGGACGTGTTATTATGTTACAACGATGAAGCTACTTCCCAAATCGATAGGGGAGTCATTTTGTTCTATTTCTACGTGGGGTTTTGTGTTCTATTTTTTTTAAGAATACACTGCAAGTGATATAGTAGAAAAATATTTTGAGCTAAAAGACATGGAGATTGTAAAAACAAACAAACACTGACAATACCTTAACATGAATATCTTTGACGGTGATCTGTTTCGTTGCTTAAAACTATAGTCGTAAAAAAAACCCGAAAAACTCACATCAAAACTTTTAAGTTACTCCTGGAGAAAAAAACAAGCAAGTTCCGAAACGTTGGGTTACATTGTTAGGGTTTTGGTCGGAGTTTTTTAAATTTTTTTTAATGCATTAGCATTCGAACGCTCGCTTTGAAGAAAAGCCGGCGGTGTCTTTCGTTTGTCAGCAGCAGGGAGAGGGCGAGAAGGAGCGGGAGAGGGTGACGCGTGCGACACTCCCGTAGGTCCGAAGCGGTGACGTAAGTACGCGTCAACCTCTCCCGCTCCTTCTCCCTCTCTCCCTGTTGCTGACAATCTGAAAGACACCGATAAACAGATAGAATCAGAAGAGCGTGTTGGTTAAACATCTTGGTATCCGTACGCTAAAGGAGACAAGGGATACACGTCAGACACAAACAGCGTTCAACTCGCAACAAGTTTATTCTCTCTTACGGAGTGGAGAGCCCGCGTGATTTTGACAGCGCCCCCCGCCGGCTCAAGGCCACGCTCGTCCCTCTCATTATTGGCTACTGCGTCAGGTTTCAAGTGACATGCAACTGACACAGAGACATGACGGTTTCCGTCGAATATTTAGTAGTGATGGGGCGAATTACCAGAGATTAGGATTCTGGCAGATTCCGAAATTTCTGAAATGTCGCGACGAATATTTGGAAGATTCGGACTTTCGGCAGATTCGTTGTCCGTCGGACAATTGGCGAAGCCAAGCAGCCAAGCTCGGTAGCGATATCTTATTAATAAATATTGATCAATATACGACTTTACCGAATGAAAGGAAGAAGTCGACCGTCGTTTTGTTTCGGCGTTGCCACATGAAGATTAACTTTTTTAATCAAATAATCGTAATTTTTTTATATTGAAGCTAATGAAAGAAACCGTCATCGGAGTAGCATTGCAGATGAAGGGTCGGGTTGGATTAATTTCAGATAAAAATGATCGCTTTTGGCTTAGCTTCATCGCGCACATGGCAATTGATTTATGCGCACCTCCAGAAACCTCAATTTGACACTTCTTAAGCATTTATAATAACCTTTACTTCTATAAAATTGTCGAGGTAATAAGTATTATCAGGTTCAAGCTTATATTCTCGCATGGAAAGTGAGGATTTTATTTCCGCCGATTTCGTCGAAGAATCGCCTGGCTACATCATTCTATAGCCACACCGAAACTGGGCGCACTTTTAATATTTAGGGTCCGAAACAAGAGGGGGTTGTCCAAGGAAATTTAATTGTTGTCAAACACGAAACTCGGTTCCTTTAATAGTTATAGTAATCATAATATTCGGAACTTTTATATGCAATGTTGAGGTTTCTTTTTTCTACAGCATGCAAGACTAGACAAAAACAAGGACGGTAAAACCTTTGATTTAAAGATCTGAATTAAATCTTAGCGTAGTAAAAAATATCCCAATACAAGCTTCTAGTATTAATATATTTTGCACAAGGTCCCTCAAAGTCCGCTTTCCTTTTTGTGAAGATTGTGTTGCGTGAATGGCGTGAATATGGTTATTGTGGCTAGTCATTTTGAATACCAAACCAAAACTTAATTTTTAATACGTTTTTATGTTTGTACTACCACAGGGATTTCTAGAATAAAATCGAAGATATACTGCGTATATTTTTAATGTGAAATTAAATTAATGTAGAATTGAACTGTGATCATGCATTTTTGAATGTTTTGTAGAAATGGAACGCTACTATTAGAATCTTGTTGAAAATTCTGATCCGGCAGAATGGGCCAATTTTCCGAACATTTCCGAATTTCTAGGTTCGCGTCCGAATCTCGGTTCAGAGAAAGTTTCCCCATCACTAATATTTAGTAAAATCCTACATCACCGATATGGAGACAATGCATAAGCTATTTCTCTTATTTGCGAAGGTAAATCTTTCCATCACCCATGATCATTTGGATATTAAAATGAGATTTAAATATAAAATGAAATAAATGCAACTGTATGAACGCTTGTGAAGTAAAAGTGTATAAACCCGCTCAGTTGTGGAAATGAAAGTTGTCTTGAAGATTTCACAATGAGCAGATGTTGAAATTGAATCTCATTATTTTTTCGTTAATTTAGTTGCGGTGTATTAAAGAATAGGTAAGGACACTGTTGCTAAAAAACGTGAACACTCACAATGTCTCTCCGAAACATTGAGTTTAGTCGAGTAAAACGGAGCTGAAAGAAAACATACGTCATATTGTCAATGTTGACAGTTGGGCTAGTTGATGTGGAATCTTTGAAAACACGATGGTTCTTATAGACACGGAAAAGAGAGACCACACTGTCATGTAAATATTAATATGTTCATATCTGTTCTTTTACATTTCTTCAAAAAATAATATAAAAACATTTATAAAGAGAACACTTTGTTGCATTTTGTTTTAATCGAACAATCTGGTAAAGGTGTTCATCAAATATATACTAATTAAAAGTTCAAGAAACGCTAAGCCTCCTGAGTTTCGAGGATGTTAACATCACCGCGTAGCCGATGAGATTATGGCATTAGGGAACGTCGAATAATAAAAGACGAAGAAAGAAGTCCTACGTTTTTAAAGCGGGAGTTTTTAGAAACGGTGTTTCTTTACTACCTTTATTTACATTAATATATGTATGTCAAGTGCGCTTTCGCTGTTCTGAGCTCGGTCTCCGAACTCAACTTCGCTAGTGCTCCTCTTCCTCCTTCGTGAACCAGCCGGCTGCTTCAAGTACTCCCCTACAAACTACGAGCGCCTGTACCACCGCAGCGGAGCTGCGGTGGTACAGGCGCCCACCCGATGCCTCGTTCGCCCGTATTCTGAGTACGCTCATGGTTTCAGAATGGCCGGCCGTACCAAAATGTAAAATTTTGCTCTGTACACGTTCGCCGAAAGACATCTTCTACGTGTTCTTGCGCACTTAAGCAAAATAGTCTCTGTTTCAACCGCGCTGCTTCATCCAGCATACCTAGTCTGCAGCGATGGTCGGCGGCGGCATCCCCACTTCCAGCATGATTTGTCCCAGTCGACCGTTGGCTGTGAGTCATACTTATTACAGCATACTTAATTTGCAGGCGGCCATCGGCGCTGAGTCATACTTAGTCCAGCATATTTTGTTCGCAGATGACCGTCAGAAGTGAGCCATACTTAAAGGGGTGGTGCAATGATTTTAACACTAAACGAATGTGCAGCTTGTATTTTTTATATTGTTTACTTCGGCATAAGTAAGAGAAAAAGTGCCCACCATACCCCAAAATACCTCTATTTCGCTGTGTAATCGCAAAACAAAAAACGCTTTTTTTCCCAACCTGCGGCCACATGGTGGCCGCAAATGGAACCTGTGCTGTGACGTCATTCGGAGTGGTTTTCGTAAGTGATAATGTTAGGCAATTGTAAGCTTGATTTAAGGTTAAGTTTAAAAAATCTTGTTGTTTAGGCATGCAGAAACGCTTCAAAAGCCTAATATTGCCGCTAAAAGATTTGTGGCGCCATCTACCGCAAGTCAACCAAACCTGCCGTCGCCGTCATCCGTCGACGCCCGAGGCGCCTACGGCGGCTACAGGAGCAACCCGGACGTTTTGTCTTTCCCTCGCTCGACAAAGTGCGTTGGTCCTGGTCCGTAGTATCGTGGTATCGTTATTGTTCCTGGTGTCTCTGCCTCGACTTCGACTGCCAGCCGCACAAGTCCAACTGACTTACTATACGCAAGCATCTTGCGCTCGACGTCGCTCAGGCCGTCCACCCATGCCGCCATGTTGGTCGGGAATTGACGGGAGAGCGGCGAGCCTGGCGAGCCGGTGAGCGCTGGGGAAACGGAAGCCAGAAGCACCCAACCGGAAACTAACGCCACTCCGAATGACGTCACAGGCGAAGCTGGTGCCGCTTCAGTGTTGAGTTGAGGGGTGCCGGAGATACCAATTTCTTTTATTTTTTTTAATGAAAACTATGGCAAGCAGGAAAGAATAGTTTTCGGTTCTTCGTTTTATATGTGGCCGGGATCAATTCCCGCAATTAATTAGCCAAAGTCCGCAAATTGTTGCACCGCCCCTTTAACCCGCAGGCGACAGTTGACGGTCCGTTGTGCTTAGTCCAGCATATTAGGGAGTTTTAGAACAACGTACACGATTTTAGCGTGTACTAGCGTTAAATTTAGCGCTTGCGTTAGCGCACGTTACGCAAGACTGTTTTAGAATAGCGTTTCTCCGCGGCGACGTAAAAACCTAAGCAACTCGCGCATGCAACACCACCAAGATACAGTCACCATTTTTATTTCCTATACGATATGCTGTAACTTGAAGAAAAGGAGCTTTCTGATCCAGAGTAAGATTTGAGATTCGTTTAAACATAAGAATGCGACGTGAGCGGCTCTGTCGGCTTGCGTCGATTCGGCAAGAGAGGCCTCATGTATTGACCTTCGCCGAGAAATCTTCGCGCGTCGCAAGCATCAAGTTAGCGGTGATCGTTGCTCGCCTTACTGGGTTTTCCAAACCGAGTGCAATGTCGCGCCGTATTGAAATTCGCAGTGGCTAGGATGCCGCCGACGTCGCGCTCACGACGCCGCCAAAGCTGCCGCAACCATGGTCTGGGGAGCCGGCATTTTTTAACTGTGCTAGCCCTTGGCTTTAGCCAACTTCTCATCACGAATCCTCCTTGGATGAGAAAAAAGCCTTTGCTTACGCACACAATTTCCGAAAAATATCGTACGCTAGAATAGCGCACACAACTCGCAAAATGTGGTTAGCGTTCGGCGGATGCGTAGTGGCGACGACATTATTCTTTGCGTACGCAAAGCTTTAGTGTGTGCCATTCTACAACTTCCTATTTATTCCGCGGAGGGCCGTTGGCGGAGAGCCATAATTAGCCCGCAGGCGACACTTGGCGGTGAGTCATACGTAGTGCAGCATATTAAGCCCGCAGATGCCCGTCGCCGGTGAGCCATAATTTCACCGCAGGCGACCGTTGGCGACGAGTCACATTGCCGCAGGCGTAGTCACCTATATTAAAGAGAAAAAAAAAATGCGGAGCCAGCCAAGTAGGCAGTGCACTTGCCACCTACGCAGATGACCAGGATTCGAATTCCGCCACCGCTGGTTGATTTTTGTTTCTTTATGTAAGTAGAAGATTTTCGAACGTTGGAGAGCCGTACACCTTGTTTATGCTCCCCAGAATGTATACTTCCAGAACAAACGTGGTAGAACGTTCTACGCTCCCCGGGAAGGCTCAAATGAATACATGATAATAATGCAATTATTGCCAAGGTGCAAGCCGCCCCACACCGTGCGGAGTCAGTCTCGTCCCAACACTGGGTTCTGCTGTTACTCCGCCATTGACGCCTGCGAAGCTAGCCTTCTATTTTGTTTTTGGCAAGTTCGCCCTGTTAAACTTTTAGTTTCCTTCAGTCATTCGTCACTTCATGAATTGTCGTGTGTGACAATATTCAGTCCCGCATATTCAGTCCGCAGATGACGGTCGGCAGTGGGCCTTACTATACTGCTTCTCAGTAATTGCGTGCAGTACAGGCGAAGGCAACGCCAGGGGAGGGGAGAAAGGGCAAGCACTATTCATTCTTGAGACGAGGAGAAAAACTTCCTCTCCTCTCTAACCATTCCCAGTGCTCTTACTTTCTCCCCTCGCTTTCCATTGCCCTCCTCTCCCGTCCCGCCCTTCCTAGTGCTCGTTCTTTTTCTCTTCGTCTGGCAAAGCCTTCGCCTGGACTGCACCCTAATGGTGACACGGCCTGTAACCCCGCAGGCGGTTGTTGCTGCTAAGGCATACAGTAATGACGTCACAAGTGACGTCACGGGTGACGTCACGAGTGTCGCGAGGGAGAAGAAGGAGGAGAAGGGAATTTTCCCGCTAAATTTAGCGGAAACATTCCCCGCTAGATTTAGGGAAACAATTTCCCCACTAAATTTAGTGCAAAAATTTCCCCACTCAATTTAGCGGAAAAAGTTCCCCTATAAATATAAGGGTACGATTTTCCCGCTAAATTTGGCAGAAAAACGTACCCACTAAATTGAGCAAAAAACTTTTCCCGCTAAGTTTAGAAAAAAGATTTCCACGATAAATTTAGTGAAAAAAACTCCGTGCTAAATTTAGCGGAAAAAATTTCCCGCTAAATTTTTTCCTTTCTCCTCCTGCTCTCGTTCCCTTGCCCTCCTCCCCCCTTCCTCCTCCCCTCCTTCTCCCCTCTCTCTTTCCTCCTTTGCGAAATCACTCGTGACCCTCGTGACGTCACTTGTCACCCTATTGTCCCTCGTGACGTAACTCGTGACCCTCGTAATTTCACACGCGACGCCACGTGTAACATCGTTATAAGTAACGTCCCATAATGCAACGCGTGGTTACGCCGAGGGCGACGGCGACGCCGCTCAAGACCGAAACGGTCGCCTAAGAGCTGCGCTCTGAAACGTTAAGTGCACAAACGGTATCTTTTTGGAAACGGAAACGATGGGATGTTTCCCAACGTGCTCTGTGAAATTAGTATTGGAGTGTTTGCAACATAATCACTATTGAAAAGTTAACCAATTAATATGTGTTAAGTAGCTGGTTTGGATCATAAAGGCAACTTGGCTTGTTCCCTTCTGCAGTGAACAATAAATTGGCTCGACGAGCGTAGGGTACCATCTTCTATTTTAAATCTTCTGAGAAATTTGCCGAAACCCCCTGCATATGTCCTACATCGTATTTTTAGATTGCTCCTGGATTTTAAGAATAATATACAACTTTTGGTGACACCTCTCATCCTTGATTTCACCACTTCCGTTATGGGAAAGCCGCAAATAAAAGAAAATCGTAACCATTTTTTTTTGCGTTGTTCAACTTAACAAAAAATGATCAATGCAAATTATTAGAATAAATTTAAGAATTATTAAAAAAAATACTTTATGAAATTTTTAGGCCTAAAAATGTGAAGTTGATATTATGTGTTTTTTTAGATGTTGCGAACCAAAGCAATTTATTGTTATATATTTTATGCCCATCGTGGAACTGATATTTCTGTTGTCATAGGTCTTGAGGGTTCATTTTCTACAACGATGTGTATATGATCTTAAATCGCTCTAGGTAGGAACTTTGTCTCTAAATTGTACCTAAAAATCCAGGAATAACGTTTGTCTTCTAAAATGATTTGTATTGTACCTGCCACGTGAAAAAATATCAATTTCAATAAAGTCAACACCTGTGAAAAAAATCAAATTAATTTTATGAAGTAAGTCATCATGTAACGCTTGAGACCCTTTTTTATATGACACTGTTAGCTTCTAAATTCTGTCTTTCAAACACTGTATGATTCATTAAACTATATGAAAAACTATATACTATTTTTGCTAAAATCTAGTTTCTAATGTGCGGCTGAATTCAGGTGAAACTACCTTGTTTCAACTATTACTTTTGCATGTTTACGCGTACGTTGGATTTAGAATTAGCTTCGCAGCACATTGGAGAGTAAAATAACTTTCATACCATTCGTTTCCTCTTCAAGGGGCTTTAGGTGTTCCCTTAAAGAAACAACAGGAAGTAACAGCACCGCTGCCAGACGTACTATTTCCCTAACCCCACACATGTGTTTCGCTCGGAAGCTGGGATGAAAGTATATTCTGATAGCTCCAAGTAAAGTAGCATGTGAGCGTATTGGAATACAATACGTAAAACAAAATGTCAATTCGAAGATGCAGGAGACGGCAGAAAAGGATTTGGAATTTAACTTTAGCCTCGGAGGTTGACAACAAACGTTTATTGTGTTGTTAAACGTTTTTCAGTAGCCTTGTAAATAAAAAACAAAAACAGAAAAAAATATCTCGGGATAACATTTATTGCTTTGAGGGGACTTCAATTCGAATGTGTTGTCTTTTTACTCAGACTCCAGTAAAAAAAAGAAAAAAACAAATTTATATTTCATTACTACACAAAACATACTTCCCATCGGTCGTTGTTTTTGTCGCTCCATGCTTCTTAAAGTATAAATCATCTCGCCCAATTAGTCACTTTGTTGCAATAAAACATTTTTTTAAATAATTATAAGCCATAAGTCAACCACAAGCGACGCAAACACTTATAGAGACGTTCCTAAATATTTATCACTTTAATAAATGCCTTAATATTTGAGGAATACAGCCAGTTCCACACTAGAAAGCAGAAACGAATTTATTACTGAAGTAAATAAACTCACCAAACGGAATAAAGTTATAGATTATGTAAATTCATTGAATTGAACAATTTTCTCCATTGCCTGATCGAATTCTTTGTGAGGAATCAAGTGGAGATATTACGTATACCATTCATAGCCAAGTGACATGGGTGCTTTCACTTGAAATCAAACACGCGTGTCGGGGTGGGTATTTTGATTGGCATAAAAAATACCGTAGAAGCCCCACTTCCGTAATAAAGAAAACAGCTATTAAGATTTTGTTAAAAAATGTATTCCGTTCCACAAAAAATTCAGAATTAGAGAAAGTTGGAATACTGCATTTCGGTTGCTTGATTCTTTTAACAAATTCTGTCGGTTGTACGCTAAAAAAAAAAAAAAAGTGCCACGCATTTTTTGCTGTTTCTTGGGCGTCTTAAGAGATGCAGTCTAAGCAATATACAACAAAGTACGGAAAGGGCAAAAAAAAAAAAGAAAAAAAAAACGCCCGCGAAAAATTGTGAAGTTTCCGGCGCTTGCTTGCGTTTTCCGTTCACGTTTCGCTGTCGTCTCCTTCCTTTTTTGTTTTCAGGAGATGGACGACCGACAACAAGGAGGGCCTTGACGACAGCCAGCAGAAGGCGTGATTGACCCTCCAGAACCACATGATGAGGACGTTCCAAGTTTCTGTCCAAGGACGGAAGAGGAGAGCAATTTTCCCCCCGGCAAGGGACAATCAACAGAAAATGAAAACGCTTTATAGCGGGCAGATACCGGAGGCCAACCTCCAATTCTGGTAGAGAAATGCCGTGCGCGGCCCCTGCTGCCTATTGCTTGGACAGCCGTTTAGGATAGGTTGCACGGAGTTTTTTTTTTTTTTAATTACCTCTACACTTTGTGAAGCCTAGATCTCGCCCACAGATCCGACGCGCAAATGCAATAATTAGTCATAGTCCTATGCCACAATACTTAGAAACAGTCCCGTGAAAGAGTAACCCATCTTTGAGATTCCAAGCGAATAATCTCCCACACCCATGTGTCCAGTCGAGGAGGCCACCTAAACAAATAAGAGTGACTACCTCGAAAGAAAAGTTTGCTTCCTTGACAGTTTATACCTGGTGTCTCAAACGTAATAATGGCGATGGCAGGGATTAAGAAACTTCCTTGATGAGTCTGACCTCTTGTATGTAGAACAGTGTCCGATCTAAAAGAAAGTGCATTAAGGTATGAAGGGTCCCTGTTGAAAATAACCCTCAAACCTGATGTGTTGGAACCACTTCAGAACTTCAAACCTTTTCAGCATATCAGACCCCTCAGACCTGAAAACGTCATTGAAGTTTTATTTTATACATTGAATTGAAAATGCATATTGAACATCCAGAAATACTATAAAAACTGACGTGTACTAAAACCCGGAAGCAAGCCGCTCGAGAGGGAAGCGGTGAGACCCTATAGCGGTAACCGAGTTGTTCTTCGCCCAAAATATATTTTAGGTACTCACAGTGCATCTTAGTAAATTCCTGAGATGTTCGAATGTTCAACTCTTAAAATTGAGCGAGTACACCGCACGAACGCACGAACACACAAACACACAAGCAAACATACACACACATATATATTGACCGTAACACGTTTAGCGAATCCAATATCCGCAGCGTCGACAAAATCCTGAGCACGGTGACGGTGTCGTCCCTGATGCCTTCGCGGTGGAGTCCCCTGCATCTTTCTTGTTTGCTGGACGACTTTCCAAAATAGGACGGACCAAAAAACGCCAGAAAAGAGGCACTGAAAGACCTTCTATCTTATCCGCACACTGAGGTGCTTTAGGAGATAGACCCACGGTAGGGCGCCCAATAGAAAAAAGTAAAAGCGGCTTCCCCAACGCATATATTTTCAAAGGGCACGTGAACTACTCCAAAGGCTCTATAAATGTATTTTGATAGTTCCCGTGATTTATCGGAAAAGGCTGGGACAGTCCCTACAGGGATTTCAAAAAAGTTACAATGGTCCTCTCACACCCTTCTGAAATTAATGAATAATTCGTCAGGCCTCCTAGAAAACATCGGCGGACCTCTCAAACCTTTCAGAAAATATTTGGAGTGCATGTCAAAACCTTCTAAAAATCCTGGTAGACCCGACAGACTGATTTTCATTAGGGGTGGCCTGTTCGCACATGCCATATATCAAAAACTTACAGATTGAGCGGGATGTTCAGTCATTATAGGGTTCTAAAGTCAGCATTCAGAACGAGTTGAATGTTTAGCCGTCATTCCTAAAAGCCCAGCAAGACCAGCAGAAGCCCCTTGCAGGAAAACATAGAAGGGGCCAAAAATGCTATGGGCACTTCACACTTGTCCGCAACCTGCCTCTATTGCTCGAAATTAACGCTGGCGATCTGGACCAGTATTCAAAGAGTAAGTAGGAGGAAGAACACTGCATTCCGTACGTTACTAGTGTGTGTGGAGTCGACTACCAGATTACAGTGCCTTGTAGAAAGGGACGCAAAAAGTGACAGTGGGAGTTGAAACAGTCCATCATGTTCCTTTTTTGTGCCTTCCAGTTTTTATAGAGCTGTGGTCTAATCTAGGAACAGAATGCAAAATTGAGAACCCATTCTTCACACCTTTTTGACACATCGAGACATAATAGAGATTGTGGTGACCGAAGAAAAAGTTTGAATCGGGTGTTTCAGCTCATAATGTCTCCCGGGGTATTGGCATTAAAGCAAGAAAACATTCCATTCAACTTGGAGACGCTCCTTGGAGGCATCTCACAGTGCACTGCAGTAGATGAGGATATTTTAAATATTAACGCCTTTTTGAGCGTCATAACAGAAAACCTGAGAGCGCAATGAACGCGACTTTTTATATCGACATTGACGAGACTATACATGAAAGTACGTGCAGCCTCCGTAACCATTTTAAATGACAAGGGTAATTTTATAAGGAATTGTAGCTTGAATGTGTCAGTTTACTTTAGCGTGTTTGTGAGCGTGGCATATAGGCATTAACTAACTATTAAAGAATACATTTATATAGTTATTTTGATTTCTAATTTATTCTGTTAGTTATAAATTCAGTTGTTAGTCCCCACTTTATGTGCGCTCCTTTTTACGAGTTTTTTTTTCGTTGTTTCGCTTTTAAGCTTAAGTTATCTTGACAAGTTTTAGATACTTCGCACGTGGGAGTTCGACGTGTTTTAATGACAGTCAAAGGAGGAGTACGAAACCTATTTAAGAAAGGACAGCAGTGAGTAACATCTGGCCCAGTGGCTCAAGAATTGAGTGGGTCTGGCTTATTTACACAGAAAACGGCAACAACGGTTCGGCTGCGGCAGCGTGACAATACCTATACAGCTGTCACTTTTTTCGTCTCGTAGTGCGTGTTCTTTTTAAGTTACAAACAGTGTACTTCTGTCGAGGGAGTTAAATGTTAGCCGCTTCCATTGAAGTACAGAAATGCATGCGTATATTGCTTGTTTTATTGAAAAAAAAATAACATGGGTATGAGTTTTGTAAAACAAAGAAAAAAAAAGTTTCGGGAACATACATCCAGCCACGACATAAGTCTTGAGCTGCAAGAACATATTGCCGCGCGCGCAGATGGCCAAGTAGGCAGCGCGCGCGTGGCCTAATGATTATCGCGCTTTCCTCCCACGCGAAAAGCTAGGGTTCGAATCCTGAGAGTGACGTGTCTTTTGTTTATTCCTGCAATTTAGTGTTCTGGAGAATTCGAGAATCATGTTGCTTGTTCCAGGCCCGAATGTTCTACGCGTCGAAGTTTCTACGCCGATTATTCCAGAAGACCACTCATGTACATAAGGGGCTCCGCGTGGCGAGCCACAGTTAGTCTCGCCCCAGCGCTCGATCCTGCGGTTTCGCCGACTTCGACGCCCGCGACGCTTTGTTATTATCTTTTGTACTATTTTTTATTTTTGGCACAAGTTCGCCACATTAAACGTTTATTTCTTCCTGTTCATCTATTGTTTTTGGTCACCTCCCGTGACATATTGGTGGAGGTGCGGGGTACTGGGGTCGTCGCAAGTACTCGTCGATCTCCCGAGGGCGTTCACCATACCTGGGGCGCGGGTCGCTTGGGTGGAATCCGCGCAGCCCGAGTCGTCGGTATGGGTATCGGCGGTACACATGGTCAGCTTCCCCGCAGTGGTAACACAGCGGGCGTCGGTCGGCCGTCCTACAGACGTCTGTCTTCCTCGGCGCAGGTCGGTCTGGGTGAACGTGCGCCTGATCTTCCTGTCGTCGGGGATACTGCGGCGTTGGGGCGTCTCTTCGGGGTGGCGCCGCGGCTTGGCGGGGAGCTCGCGGCGGTCGTCGGGCTATGGCAGCGTAGCTCAACGTCGGTTCCTCCGGTGCCACCGTGGTGACGGGTTGGAGGTTTCTTTCGTCGCTGGCATTCATGGCATGATCGTGTGTATAGGTG